AAGATGTGGATCGGCCCATCCCTAATAAATATGAGTTCAAATAAAATGATCGCGATCACCTTCAGCCTTGTAAAGACAAGCTCACCTCACTGTACATGTGATTAGGCAAAATAAAGTGGGACTTTGTGCACTAATCTGGCTACTCTGTATTTGCGACACGGTATAAAAAATGATCAAAAACTAATTCTAGAGAAAAAAAAAGTCTATGGGGTCGGCAGAAATTTGTGATGTCAAAATGGGGTCACGGGCCAAAAAAGGTTGGGAACCACTGATTTAGAGGGAAGCATCTATCACTACGCTACCTGCATATAAAGCCGAGCAATCTAGTGAACCTGCGAGTAACAATGACAGTCTCGTTTTTTCACACCTTCCACTTTGTCAATGCCTGGCACATGAATCCTGAGACCCGTGAGCAGAGATGCCCTCAGGAGCCCCCTTATCTCCCCAAAACCCCAGGGTGGTGTGAGCCCTCCACTCCTGTGAAGCATTGTAACACCTGGCACTTCCACTTCAGAGCCGACTGACAAGTGTCGACTGACAACCAGAGAAAGTGAAATGCATTTTGACTCATGAAATACATATATGATTATGCAATGATGCATTGTGAACTTCTGCACATTCTGTGAATTCTCATCCATGTTACAATGCCGCTACTCAGTGTTACGTCAGGTTACATTGCTGCAATAGTTAACCTCACTGCTGCATTTTATTACTTTGACTTTGCACACACACACGTTGCTGCTTCCACACCCAGTGTTATACATATTTTTATACTATATATACCAGAGCATGTGAGCATAGTGGAGCAGTGAGAATTTTCCGCTCCTCGCTCACGAGGCTGTTGGCTCCGCCCGCTTCTCCGCTCTAATTCGCACTACGCCGCTCCGCTCAACACCGCTCCTCGCTCCACTAAAATGTCCTCCCGCTCCAGTCAAATCGCTCCATGCTCAGATATATACAGAGACATCAATAATCTCTACTACACTCACACTTGCTCATTTTATATCCAGTTATATTCTCCGTTACTTATTTTAATGTTTTCTATTTATTTTTATTTTACCTTATTTTAATCACTGAATTGTTGTTTGGATTTTGTTTCCATTTTATTAATGCTACTACACCGGACCGGAGTACCTCATCTCATTCCCTTCATGTACAACACGTTTGGGAATATAAAAAAATAAAATAAAAAAATCCTCACCCTTATCCTGCAGGTTGCTATTTGGATGCTGTCAATGTTCAAAACGTCAATCTTACTGATAAATGAAGTTGCTTAGTGCTGCATGATATCACACAATACAATTCCAATTACATGGTGCATGCGCCAAATATTAATGAGTTGTGATGCCAAAAAGGTGGTATTCTCTATAATCCTGGCATAGCCTTATGTTTATGAAATTCGGTTAGCGGAGTATGCCACATGGTACCGATTTGGTAAATCATGGAAGCAATAAGCACTGAAGTAGCGGCGAACAAAGGGAGAGATCAGCAGGCACATCTTTTAAAAGAGGATATCATGGATAAACAAAGTGAAACATGTCAGTGGTGAAGCTTAAAATCTGACACGTTTATTAAACATAAGAGTACACCGGATTTATACAGATTACTAACTTGTGGGCATCATAATATGTCTCTCATTAAAGTTTTAGTCATACTACTAATCAGAGGCACAGTGACTGGACCGGCAGAGCAGGCAATGCCCTGGGGGCCCGAGCTGGGAGGGGCCCCTGAGGGCAGCCAATTACATGGTTCATTCCAATGACAAATCTGCTTTACTTGTGCATTCTATTTTTCACAAGAGAGAAAACAAAAGACTTGTGTTTATTAAATTCTCTGTTGATATTAAATTTACAGTTCACAGTAAAATAAATGTAATAAATTACACTATGCTGAGGGGGGGGGGGGGCAAGGGCCCCCAGAGTCCTTGGAATCTCCTCTGTTACTCATCTGCTCACCAAATCGTGGACTTTAGTAAAGGTCCGTTTAATAAAAAAAGCCAATGTCCAGACCGGACACCCGTCTACTAAAGCCCTGGTGATCACTGAGCATGTGCCTTTTAATCTCGATGTGATATCATGCAGCCCTACAAGCTGTGAGATCATGCATCAGCAAACGGTTCATTAGGCAGGTTCATTGTGGATCGCCACACATCACACAGTACTTGGGGATTTGAATCCCAGCCCTTCTGTGTGTCTTTGTGGGGTTTGCACATCCTATGTGTGTTGACAGATGGATGGCTGAAGTGATCGGTCTTATATGAGCTATTGTACATTCACACAGGTATCCTATTATGCAAGTAAGACGATTCATATCTTAAATGGTTTGATTAATTTTTTGACTTGCTCCCAACTTGCGACAAAAAGGAGAGGTTTTTTCCATAGATCTTCTCAGGAAAGCAGATGTCAAAACACCTCACTCCCCCAGCCACTGAATACTGCTCTTGTCAGCTCTAGTAGTTCCAGATCTGGCCTTTCAAGTACTTCGCTGGTTTTGCTGTTTTCATCCTCAAGCTGTATTGGATCAGAGGGATGATCTGCCTGGGGGGCACGACCACAGCCTGAGACCTCAAATGCTATTGGCTACCTCTGGAATAAAAGGACTGGCCGACTGTGGAAGAGGGAAGAGAAGAAAGAAAAATGCAGCATCTTATCACACCCACTAGTGAAGCTATGTTATGCGTGAGATAAGTGTGCCGGTTGTTGCAGCTACACCCATTGGCTGTTTGTGTTATGGTGTCACCCTGGGCCGACATTAAGAGGCCTCCCAAACCATGCTTTTAGCGAACATGGCTGGAAGCCAAGTCACACTCTACTATGGATACAGGCCATGCAGAGTGGCGTTAATTTAGTCACCGGCGGGTCTGGTGCACTGTGTGTGCGCTGCAGAGACGTTGGGTCTCGTGAACTTCTCGCACGTTGGCGTGCATCAACTGCACATGTGAATGGAAACTTACTAGGGGTTTGTGGTAGGTGGCAGAAAAATAAGAGTGACGATACAGTGGCCGTAGCCGAGGAGGGTTTTCGATAAGCAGCTGTATGAGGGGTGGAAAATCATTTGATTTTCAACAAAATAATGACCTTAAGCATCCCTCGTGGTTATGTAGTAAATATCATCTTGTGAACAAGGACAGAGATGGAGTGCTGTGACAGATGACCTGGCCCCCACCTAAACCCTACAGAGCTGGTTTGGGATGAGCTGGATCGAAGAGTACGAGCAAGGTAGCCAACTCATGCACAGAACTTGTGGAAACTCCTTCAGGACTGCCGGCAAGGCATTCCAGGCGGCTACATCTAGAAGCTGGTAATGCTGTCATTGAAGCAAAAGTCATTTTGAAGATGTTGAACACTTCAAGGTTGGTGTAATATGCGATTTATATTACTTTCTTGCCGGGAGGCCTTTTGCTATGGTTAGGACTGTTAACCCTGACCAATGGATCGACCCTATATGCCTCGTTACAGGGTCCACCTGCCCCCTTCTCAAATGAGTCTAACACACGTGATGCACACTCAGCAGTCCATACTTCCCCTCAGCCACAGCTCCTGGACAGGGTCAAGGTGAGCTGGCAGCCTGCATCAGGAAGCACCAGGCCCGGAACAGGGGACGCTCTGCTCGAGATGTGCTCAGCTCATTGTAGCACGCGCGCACACACACACACACACACACACACACACACACACACACACACACACACACACACACACACACACACACACCTTTGAGACACTGATTCAAAATGAATGCATGTTTTTGGACTGCAAGAGGAAGGCAAAACATTCAAAGAATACCTATGCACACACTACTCATACGCACACATAGAGCCATGAGTGGTAACTGGTGGGAAAAGCCCTAAGGTGCAAGCTTACACTGCATCTCCGGTGAGATCCACGCCTTATTCTCAAATTCCCTAACTTCAACCCTAACTTATTTTCACCATTGCATAAACAAAAGTCTCCTAATTACGACAAAGTGCACTGAATTCACGGTATAATGAACCGTGAAATCACATGACATGAATCAAGTGATCAGTTTAGCCCTGTGCAAACAAAAATTTACACCGGCCGTTTAAACAAATATTGGTAGTCAAATCCTGGTCAATGCATTGTCAAAGCAAACAAAAAACAAAAAAAAAAACAAAGCAAATAGTAGCCTTTCGTAGGTAGTGCCCGTGGGTCTGGAGTAAAATGAGATTTTCGGTTGCGCCACGAGAGAGAGAGGAAGCAGACAGAAACAGATAGTGATAACTGTTCTCTTCGTGTGTAGCCATTTTTGCCTAGTCTGACATCAGTTGTCTTAATCTCTTAACTGATTAACTCTGCGTTCAGGAAAGAGCGCACTGAAGGCTGCATGGGAGTCGTCTTTAAGATAAGTCCCTCAAGCTCGAGTGTGACATTTCACACCATACAGCTGAAACCCGTAACTAACAATGTATCCCAACTGCCAGCAAATCCGCACATGGCGCAAAGAACCATCACAAAAAACATATACTGTATTAATTGTTAATCGCAGATATTAAACAAAAGCCATTCCAGGAGAATAAAGAGGTTTGAAAGTTGCTCACATGATGTTAATTGTCAGATCGCGTACAAATGTTTAAATCCAATGTTTTATAATGCTCCGCAGTTCCACAGAAACCGGTCTAAGAATTAAACAATGTTCCGGAAGCCTTACAGATAAATACACAAACAACGCGCCCTCATTACTACAGCTGAAGTGTAGCAACAGGGTCACTGTAGAGCCGGTGCATGCGGCCAAAAATGATTAAAGGCACCAGTATCGGGGCATCACTGAGCGAATTTCTACTATAAATTCAAAATGTTAAGTGAATTACGAGGACACCGACCGATACCCATTACATTTCGGCCTAATGATAAAAAAATGTCCAGAATTAATTTGCCATTGGCATATTTTTAACATAGCTTATACTACGTTTTTTGTTCCCAATACAAAATTTTGCCGGGATACCATCGACGCCAAATCTCCCACTTGAGGAAGGGTCTTACCCATAGCTTGGTCTTTATCAGATGATCACTGCAGACACGTCCTCGCCGCCGTCCCCGCCGGCAAGAAGAGGCGGTCACATCCCCTTTTCGGCGTCTCAGACCGGTGCTGCCTGCTCCGCTCCCACGCGTTGCTCTTCTCGCCCCTCTGCATAGTTAAAGCACGCAGGGATGAAGGGACACTTACTCCGAGGCAGAGGGAGACGGCAGCTCCTGCGATCTGTGACCCGGTGCGCTCTTTACGGTAACGGGTCCTTCATAAGGCGCATTTCTCAGGACCGGCGGTAGCGCTGCTGCTGCGGCGGCCGGGGCACAAAAACATTTGCGCCTTGATTTAAGAGAGACCACTGACCCCCCAAAAAGCTTCGCCCGTGACACGATGCTTGTGCCGCTTTTACAATTCATCGCCCCCCAGGCATAATTTTCCTCTTATCTGTGCGCCTATGTACTGTTTGCTTGTGAACTCATCCCCGCTGCCGTCTGCGCCGAAGTGACGCCCTTTCCGCTCATATTAAATGCAGACCCCCCCCTCCACCCCTCTTCCTTTGAGCCTGAAAAAAGGAGAAAGAAGGGGGACGAGGAGGGTAGAGGGGCGCAAGAAAGGACAGCTCCACCATGCTCGCCAAAAGGACGAGGAAAAACTGGTGGAAAACTGCAACAAATTCTTACACCACGAAACACTATTATTTCTGTAGTCTGCTGTTACATAAAACGCGTTCAACACTAGAGAGTAAATGAAGCAAAACGCTTTTAATTAAAAACATTACCTTCCCTTCGTTTACGTGCGCCGCAGCCCAGCTGTTTCGGTTAAAAAAGCGATTTTCAGTCCTTTAATAAACTGCAAGCTTTGCACGTGTCAAACAAGCTTTCGGTTTGAGAGACTGCAAACGGCAGCCGGATGCTCATGTAGACCGTAGGCAGTGACACCTGCCGCAATCATCAAACCCGCAGCGAGTTGGAAGCACAAGGGGAAGAAAACCCTTCTAGTTTCGTACGATTGCGGCCAAACGGTTCGAATTACACCGGTATAAAATTCGGTCAGTGACAAAAAAGTTAAGCACCCAGAAGTAATGGTCCGATTTGGATGTCATTTGGTGCACGAGCAGACCATTCGATTTGCAAGGAGCTGACACGTCTAGTTACCAGCACTTGACGGAGTTTGGTAGGAGTCGCATTGTTTGTTTGCATGAGGTCGGGTGGTCATATTGTGCAAATGCCCAGCATGTGGGGCGTGCAGATGTCACAGACGCCCGATGTTGGAACCAATGGGCACGTGAGGGCACCCACACACGTTGTGAAGGTCCCGGTCGCCCAGGACAGACTTCACCAAGGGAGGGTCGTTGTATTGTGTGCCAAGCATTACAGAACTCCATGATATCCGCGTCTGCCATCCGAACACAGGTACTGGACTCTCTACAACACCATGTGTCATCCCACACCGTGTCTCGATGACTGGCACCAGGCAGACTACGGGTTCACTGTCCCATGTGTAGACTGCTGTTAACATCAGCACACAGACGGCTGCGTTTGGAGTGGTGCTGTAATCGGGAGGCATGGACTGATGACGAGCGGCGTCATACCGTGTCCAGCAAAGAATCTCGGTTCTGCATTAACACGGATGTGTGTGAATGGCGGCGCCAAGGGGAGAGGAGCAATCCTGCCAATGTTGTGGAGAGACACACCAGCGTTACTCCTGCTGTCATGGTGTGGGGAGCCATAGGGTATGACATCATGGTGTGGGGAGCCATAGGGGTATGACTTCAGGTCATCTCAGATTCGGGGGACCCTGAGTGACATCCTGCGTCCGCATGACTTACCCCTCCCGAGACAGCACCCTGGTACAGTCTTTCCACACAGGGCACGTGTGTCTATGGACTGCCTGCGTCATGTTGAGCTCCTCCTGTGGCCAGCCAGGTCCCCTGATCTTTCCCCAATCGAACATGTGTGGGATCAGCTCAGACGTCAACTCAGACCCAGTGCCAATCTGCAGGATTTCGAGGGCCAGTTACAACAGCTGTGGGCTGACTTGCCCCAAGAGAAGATACAACGGCTGTACGACTCCCTTCTGCACCATATCGCTGTGTGCATCCAGGCTCGGGGGGGCACACCCTATAACATGGGACCAGCAGTCTGTCTATGCTGCCAACTCTGTTGTCTGTTTGTTCTGATATTATAATCGTTGCCATACAGTCACATGACCTTTCACCACGTGCAGATACATTTCATGTCACTGAATTTATATTATTCCAAAAACACTTCAACAAGAACTAATTACCTTATCGACATAATAAACCTAGAGCCCAGAGAAGAGCTAAAAGCTTCCCATTTGGGGCAAAAAAGGCTTTTAATGAAAAAAACTTGGCACTTCTTGCAGTTTATTTTTCTGACCGCTGACACTTAACACACAGCAAATAGATAAGACATTCTTCAGCATGAAATAAATGCTCATACTCCAGTCGGGTTCCACCTTAATGGTAAGATGCCCTTCCCGTTTCACCCTCTCGAACCCTGTACCGTGGATGGTCCTCACTGGTCCTCCACCGCCATCCATCCCCATGTTTGTTCCTGTCTCATTCACTTTTGTGGGCCGAATCCCCCCCCCCCCTTGGGTTCAGTCACCGTGCCCCCCACCCCACGCCACCCGCCAGCCCCTTCTAGCTCTCGCAGTGCTCGCCCCCCCACAGCTTGTAGAACTGGGTGAAGTCCACATAGGGCGGCACGCGGCCTGTCTCATCGGGCTGCGCGGCCTGGCGACCCCTCTGCCTGAACAGGCTGCCGTCCCCCGAGCTGGAGCTGGAGCTCTGGGTGTGGGTGTTGGTGTTGGTGGACTGTAGGGTGGCTGTAGGACTCTGCCTGCAAAAGCAATACGGGACGAAAGCATTAGCGCACTTCTCAAAGTCACCCGTTCACAACAAACGCAGGACGTTACTAACGTAGTAATAGGATCCCACCGCGCATCCAGCGCAGACTGGTGCGAGATTACAGAAAGTCTCAGATTAGGATAGGAAGAGTATTAATTATTTGTTATTACAGAAACAAATCCCAACTTCAGGAAATCCTTAATACTTCATCCAACATCGGTTATCAACTTCTGTGTCTGTTACCTAGCAACCAACACTACTTATCTGGTGAAGCTATTTCGTAACCCATTAACACTGCATTTTTTAAGAATAGCACCCATACTTAAAATGAATAATAATAATATGCCATCTCATGTTAAAGATGAAAGCATCGAATGCCTAATCATCTTCAGATGATCTCATATGGCTTGGATGCTGACGGCATGGTACCCTTTGCCCCACACGTATATTGCCTCATCCTCCCCACTGGGGGCTTTGTTACAGTGGTGTGATACACTGTACACCCACTAAACATGCTGCAGTATGTCCGTATACCCGCTGAAAATGTGCAATGATACGCCACATACCCACTAAGGAACCTCCGGATTTCTGTATCACTTAAAAATGTGCAAGGAACCAAGGATGCATAAGTTTTGTAACCGAAATTTCACAAGTTAACTGTTTTCGCAAAAACACCGGATTGGGAGACGGGACGTGCAGTTACCAAATACGAAAGAAAGTAGATATCGCCCAATCAGACGACCCTCCCTCAACCTCCACCTCACTCACCCTGAGCGCGTTTCAGAAACTAGTGCATAGTCGCACACATGCAGCTGTGTGACTGGGATTTCCAGATAAAAATGGTGCTGGGGTGTGTATGTGTGCACGTTTCATCGGTTGCATAAAAGCAGTAACAGAGCAGCCATATTTATTATGTTTAGCTTTAGCTGACAGGACGTGGTGCCCAGTGTAAGCGGGAACAGCTTGAATGTTATCCTAAAGTTAGGAGATTTTATTTAGGGATTTTGGGAAGTCAGGAAGCTTGGGTAATACACTCTTCCTATCTTAAAATAGGACAGGAACTTTCACTTAGGAACGGTTCACTTATAATGGTCTAAATCGGCTCCTAGCCATAGTTACCATGGTTACCAAAGAGTTAAGATAGGATCTGCAAGTTGGGAAGTTTCTGTAATGTGGGCCCAGCCTATCCCAGGCAGTGCAAAGTCTGGGAACATTCCGGAAAACCATAAAAAAGTGATAAACAAACACTTTAAAATATGGTCTGGCATGTGATGTGTAAGGCAGCAATAACTGAATCTGTGCTACAAACCGCCCAATCGCCTAACACCTAGCACTGGCCACCATAATCTTCCTATATGAAAGTAAAGCACTTTCAAAAGCAGCTGACTGCCCCTTTGCATGACCTACATCTGCCATTCTCGGTTTCACACCGTTTTTGACACCAACGGTTCCTCTGGGCGACCTGGACGAGAAGCCGGTCTCTCGCTGTATTTGCCGCTCGTTTTGACAAGCCTCCACTAGCTATTTTCAGGAAAGTGGCTGTTTTTATCAACAGATGCGCTTAGCTGTCGAAAAAAACTGCAGCTTTGTGGTTCATATAAACGTAAATAACGGAGGAAATGCGAGACGGCCAGGCTAAGCAGGCGTGACGGTACCCGGTGGGCGTGCCTCCGTCCAGCGTTGAGGCGGTGTTGGTCCCGTTCGTGAGAGTCCCCTGGGAGGGCATCACCAGGGACAGCGTGACACTGGTTTTGCTGGTGCTTTGGCTGTTGGAGTAGGGCACCGATACCGGGTAGATCCGGCCCCCTAGTGGCCAACACACACAAAGACAGGAAGACGCTCAGTCTCCGGCATGAGGAGGCACGGCGAGCAAAACCCGGAGGCAGGGTGCCCCCCCCCCCACTCATTGCTTTACCCTGGGTGGGGGTGAGNAAAAAAAAAAACAAAGCAAATAGTAGCCTTTCGTAGGTAGTGCCCGTGGGTCTGGAGTAAAATGAGATTTTCGGTTGCGCCACGAGAGAGAGAGGAAGCAGACAGAAACAGATAGTGATAACTGTTCTCTTCGTGTGTAGCCATTTTTGCCTAGTCTGACATCAGTTGTCTTAATCTCTTAACTGATTAACTCTGCGTTCAGGAAAGAGCGCACTGAAGGCTGCATGGGAGTCGTCTTTAAGATAAGTCCCTCAAGCTCGAGTGTGACATTTCACACCATACAGCTGAAACCCGTAACTAACAATGTATCCCAACTGCCAGCAAATCCGCACATGGCGCAAAGAACCATCACAAAAAACATATACTGTATTAATTGTTAATCGCAGATATTAAACAAAAGCCATTCCAGGAGAATAAAGAGGTTTGAAAGTTGCTCACATGATGTTAATTGTCAGATCGCGTACAAATGTTTAAATCCAATGTTTTATAATGCTCCGCAGTTCCACAGAAACCGGTCTAAGAATTAAACAATGTTCCGGAAGCCTTACAGATAAATACACAAACAACGCGCCCTCATTACTACAGCTGAAGTGTAGCAACAGGGTCACTGTAGAGCCGGTGCATGCGGCCAAAAATGATTAAAGGCACCAGTATCGGGGCATCACTGAGCGAATTTCTACTATAAATTCAAAATGTTAAGTGAATTACGAGGACACCGACCGATACCCATTACATTTCGGCCTAATGATAAAAAAATGTCCAGAATTAATTTGCCATTGGCATATTTTTAACATAGCTTATACTACGTTTTTTGTTCCCAATACAAAATTTTGCCGGGATACCATCGACGCCAAATCTCCCACTTGAGGAAGGGTCTTACCCATAGCTTGGTCTTTATCAGATGATCACTGCAGACACGTCCTCGCCGCCGTCCCCGCCGGCAAGAAGAGGCGGTCACATC